TTGTCCCTGTTGCTGTGACAGGGAGCTGCAATCTAGATGGAAGAAGGACCTGATCCTGCTTGCCACCATGCCCCAGCAGAGCCATTAGCTTCAGCGGGAGCTCTCCTACAGACTGTTCAGGACATGCATGGGTGTTTGTGCCACTGAGGCCTGTGTGATGCACCAGGAGTCTGATGCAGCCAGAAAAACAACAAAACTACCCAGTACTCTGACCCCACTGCACCTGTCTGGGTGAGACTGCGGGCCTCCAAATAACAACAAACACAGCTCATCCTCTTCCCCGTTGCCACAAGGAACTAACCAGACACATTTCTCACACCCACTGACTCAAAGAATTCTTGGGATGACCATGCCAAAGTTTCAGGCAAACTGGTTTCCCCAAAGCCCGCATGGGGAGCTCTTGTTGTGATAAGTCTTGCTGCGGCAGCCATGCCAAACCCTGCTGGTTTGGAGAGCAACTCCTTCATGCACCAGATGAACTAAAGGCAACTTTTTAAAATGGCTCTTTCCCCTAAACCATGGAGGATTTGGAAAATACGCAGCCTTGGATGAGAGCCCTTTGTAATCACTCTCCCTTGCCACTCCCCACCCCAACTTCCTCTTAAAAAGAGGTTTAACTGATGGCTTTGAAGAGAGAGGAGGAAAATACCCGGTGGACAGCTCAGATACTGCTGTGTATAGCAATCTGGATGCCCACCATAATGCCTTGGCTTGGCTTTGAGGGAGAAGACAAACCCTGTTTAAAGGTAGCAGGGGAGGGAAGGTGTAGCTCTGTCATTACTCAGCCCTGACTTAATTGGTGGTAATTATATTAAGCAGACAGTGAAGGAAACTGCTTTGGGTGAGTCGGTGAGACTCATGCAGAGAGGTGTGTCTGTCACCCGTGTGGCAGGAGTGGCCTCTGTGCTCCAGGTCATTGGCAACACAGCAACCTGGCTCTGAGGGGGTTAAATTTATGGTGTTTTCCTCCCTCCTAGGCTATTTGCAGCAAACAGAGTCTCAGTGGAAGGTCTGAGCTGAACAAGTGTTTGCTTCTGTGGGACTGGCTGGGGTGGATTTGGAGTTGCTCTGCACTCACTAACCAGCACCCAGACTTCACTCTCCACCATCGCTGCCTTCGGAGGAGCAGTAGGGCAGGAGGCTGAGCACACGGGCAGAGTTGGACTCAGGAGCCTGGCACCTCCACATTGCTCCCCCTCTGCCTGCCTTCTGTGCCAGGACCTCGATGGCTGATGACATTGACTGGCTGGACCTGCCAGGCAGGTGGACATACGGGGTGTGTGGAGATGGGCGAGTCTTCTTCATCAAGTACGGTCTTTTCCTTATGGGCTTCTTGCTGTGCTATGCGTGGGGGCAGGAGGGCAGTTTAATCCTACCAGGTGCATGTTCAATGCCAGGCAGCAGCCGTACTTTCAGCCTAGGCTTTGGGGGGCAAAGGGGGCTTGGCAGAGGGGAGGGCCAGAAGGACTGGCTCAGCTGAGAAAGGGCAGTGGGGAATGAGAAGGGTCCTGGGGCTATGGCAGGGAGGGCCCTACCTCCCCCTGATTATACTTGTTCTGCTGTTGTCTGCTGCTGCTCCACGCACCCAAGGACCCCACCTCCATGATCACAATTTACCCATGGCCTATTTTTTCCCCCCTGTGGTTGCACTTCTGCCCCAGGGGAGTTTGGGCTGTCCCAGCCAATGCTGCTCCTCTCTGCCCTGAAGTCTGCCAGGCTCTGGCAGCTCTGTTGGAAGGAGGAATAGCACAGGAGGGTCCCCCTGCACACAGGGGCCACTGCTCTGGGAAGGGTCTGAGAAGCTGTCCCTACTCGAGCTGGTGTCCATGACCCCTTTCACGGAACCCACAGGCCTATCTTGTGTCTGATTGTGACTTTCCCTGCCCTAGCTTCTCCCTGACTTCCCTTTTGTGGGCCATATGAATAGGAAACAGGAGTCAAGGCAGAGAGGAAGGCCTACAGGCTACAGCAGACAGCACCTTTAAGTGGAAGAAGGTGCAGAGAAACCCTCTGTAAGCCCTCCCTCACCCCGCACATTCCCTCCCTGTTGTGGTTTGGGGGCCATGATGGGGACTCTCTCCCATTCAATCCCATGTTCCTTCTGATGGTCTATTTGTTCTTTGCAGTGATGAGACACAATCGACGAGCTGGGTGCACCCAGGCATCAGACGCTCCATCCAGAGCGGGTGTTTTGTCAGTGCAGGTAAGGGACAGACTTGCTTTGACTTGGGGGCGGGTATTGCATCTCCCTGGTTGCATTTGCTTCCCTTTCTTCCTGATGGCATGCTCCCTCCAGTCGAATGCCCTGCAACAGATGCTGCCAACATATCTCCTGGAAAGCCATCCTGGAGGTACAGGTATGGTAGCACAGGATCTGGTGATCAAGGGGCTAATGAACCTTGCCCACTTGGGACAATGTGGCCAACCTCTTGAAGGGGCCCTTGCTGGCTGGCTTGAGGCCTGTGACTGTCCCAGAAGAATTTCAGTTCCTTTTTGCTCCTGGGAACTGGGACACAGGCAAAGAGCTATGATGTGGTGGAGCCTGAAACCAAACCTGACTAGAAACACAAGTGAAACAAACAGCCTCTAGTTTTCTTTGTATTCAAACCAAGTGACATACAGGGCATCAGATGGCAAGAAGCCAAACTACCCTAAAATCATTCCAGGTTTAATAATGTTCACAGCTCAGCTGTCACACAGCAAGGCTCAGTTGCTCTGTGTAAAGGCACTGAGTTATAAAGTGGCTAGCAGCTTTGTCCGTCTTCCCTTAGGTGCCCAACATGAAATGCCTTCAAGGAGTCTGACTTCCAGAAGGTGGTTGCTCAGGGCTGCCTAAAAATCAGTTCCCTTAAGGTGTCTTAAGTTATACTCCTCCTTCCCATCCCCACCTTCTTCCCCACTCCAAATCACTAGCCATTTCTGAAACTGTTGTCCATATGTACAGAAGAGCCAGCAGGGCCCTGAGTGTTGTTGGTGGGGTTGATATTGTCTTTGATAAATGTGGGCTGCTGTTTCTAAGCCACCATGGGCTGTGTGTGCTGGGAAGGGCGGGTGTGGACGGGTCATTTTCAGCTGAAATTTCCTGAGATGCAGCATTCCTTGTGCACGGCAGTCAGGTTTGTCACGGGGGAACATGGTGTTGTCAGACTGGAACAGGCTCAGCCGCCCACCCAGTCCGCTACCCCAGATCTACCTCCTTACAACCACCTCACTTTCCCACCAGAGCCAGTTTTAAGGGAGGGCAAACAGGGTGATTCTCTGGGCCCCCAGCTGCTGGGAGACCCTGTTGGACTATGGTGGGTGGGAGACAGGAGGAGGCCATGCTTTCAACCTCTGCTCAAAGCCCCCATGCATCTAATGCTGCATCTACTTCTCTCCAACAGTGAGCAGAGATGGGTGTTGGGGGAAGGGTAGATGATTGCACCCAGCTGTACAATAGTCTGTCAAGGGAGGGAACTTCCCCTGAACTCAGCTGCTGATCTTATGATGCCCTGGAGGCTGGTAACCTGGTTTAATTTTGAGCCTAGCTAATAAAGCTGCAGCAGATCGACATGAAGGCTGGCTGCTCTCTGGAAACATAATCCACTAAAAGCTGCCTGCAACAGGGAGTTCCACAGATGAATGGTTGAACAACATCTGCTGTTGTTGCATCTTCACAGACTTGCCCAAAGGCTGGGAGATGGACAGCACACGGCAGGGGGCCATATACTTTATCAAGTAAGTGAAAGGCTTGTGTACTACTGCTGTTTGCTGACTTACAAGCAGAGACGTTTCTGTTTGCTGGGCTGGGGAGATAGGCTGGTTAGTGTTCCTGTTGATACACAGGCTGTATGATTTAAAAGCTCACATTGCAGTGCTGGGGGTAGGATTGCTCCAGACTGACATGCTGGCAGGGGGGAGATCGATAGCTATCTTCTGGATTGAGTGTTGCTCTGAGCGTTGCTAATGCAGCCCTGTATCAGTTAGGCTGGCTCTCAGTGAAGTTAAATGGGCAGTGCTGGAAAGCAGGCTCAACGCTAAAGCCTTGCGTGTGCAGAGCTCCCAGGGCTGCTACCAGCCATGGAACAAACCTGCATTCAGGAAGCTCAGTAGAGATTTGGTAGCAGCACACGCAGCCGTGCCATGTTGCACCCAGGCAGTGCTTTCTGGAGGCCTTTGGTAAATCACCTACTGCCCCGAGCAAAATCCTCCCATACTGAAGGGCAAGTTTCTCCCAAACAGGAGCTCTTCTGGAGACAGGGCTCACAGTTGTTATTACCGGGGTGGGGTTTGGCTGTCTTCCACTGGGCCCTCCTGAACTCCAGCATGGTCTCTTGGTACCTAAGGCTGGATGTGGTCCAGGGACTAATTCCAACCTGCCTCTGCCCCATAGAGTCTGGCTCAGTCCCTGACTTGGCTCTGATGTGTTGCATGGACAGGCAGGCCCATGGGTGTAGCTGGTGGGAATTGGTTTTGTCTGGCTGCTTTACTGTCTGTGGGTATTCGCCCCATTCTCCCCTTCCCCTGCACTGCCCCCACCCCAGCTGTGCACACAGCCAGACCCCCAGAACCGGGCTGCAAGTTCCCTTAGCCCTGCCCAGCTTTGCTCTCTGCCAGGTGAGGTGAAATCAGGCCACCGACGCCATGTACTTCTGGAGCGGTGGTAGAATTTGACTCCGAGCCACCTGCCTGATCTTCCCTTAGGAGAGCTGGACCCTGAGCAAGGTAGGGCAGGACTGCCCCAGCTTTGTCTGAGATGCACAGGCTCCCTCTGGAGCTGCAGACTTCCCCATGGTGACCTTCCCAGGTGGTACCCAGGGAGCCTGACCACGGTGGAACCAGGAACCACGTCTGTGCTTGGGTCTTTTGCCTCGAATAGAGCTGCTGCCTCTTCCCTCCGCAGTTGGTATTCGAGGGGCAAATGCTCCTTGCAGTGGCCTGGAGAGAGCTCTGTAACCTTGTGGGCAAAGCCAGGCAGCCTACGCTCCCCTGTGCCTTGCACCCTTGTATACAGACAGGCTCCTCCATGCTAGAGAGTAGACAGGAATCTTCCCTGGGCCCTGTGGACCCTTCAAGGGAGCTGCAGAAAACCCCTGCTGCAGTTGGGTTCAGGAGCTCCATGGGGATGAGCTCCTGATCTACAGCTGACTCTTTGCGTTCCCATAGAGCTTGGGAGCTCCAGTCCCGAACCAGGACCAGGTTGTGGTAGGACATGTCCAAAGGCAGCACAAAAAAAGGATTACATTTAAGTAATGGCACCGGGGCTTTGACTCCCTCCAGCTGTGGGTCTGGCTGGGGGGTCTAGCACTGGCTTCTCCCTTGCAAGCGTTTGGTTGCCTTAGGGTCTCCCAACTCCTTTGCTGCCTCAGGTCAGGACAGTCTTGTTTGTGGCTGTGTAGTGGGCTGCCATGGAAATGGCCGTGACATCCCAGAGAGAGGATTAGGACTCTGGTTGCGTTTAAAGGTGCTGAGCAGAGTTCCAGCGTCCTCCGTGCAGGCTGTTCCCAACGAGCTCCTCAAGCCCTGCTGCTCCTTGGCTCGGAGACCTTGCAGCCTGCCCCGGGACAGCAGCACTGGTGCAGTGGACACAGGGGGGGAACCCAGGTCCTCAGGTGGTCCCAGCGCTGCTGGGACCCACAGTCAGACCTTGGCAAGGGCTTCCCTGAACGAATTCTTGCTGGAGCCTGAGTTTGGCTTTTAGGCCCACCTCCCCCACCTTGATTTCAAATGACCCCCTCTGGTGATGGGGAAGTTACCCTAAGCTGTTGCAACTACCATTCTGGCTAAAAGCTCCTGCCATCCATCACACAAGCTGTTTTCTCACAGGGGCAGGGACATGTTGGCTCTGCATGTTTTGCAAGTGAATAACGGAGCCAAATCCTGGACTGGGCTCCGGAGGCGCTACGGGAACACAGATAATAAGGCACTCCGGAGAGGCAGCGGGGTTTGCCCCTGCTGCTGACTCGTCTGGTGCACATCGTGGCACCTGCCCCTCCGCTGCCCAGAGAGGCTGCATGCCGGCCTGGCGCCCTGGAAGCGCTTTGCGGGGGAAGGGGCCCGCGTTAGTCTGGGGTTGCCCGCAGTTGCAATGGCTTCCCATGAGGTGGCACCAAAGCTTCCCGCAAGCTCAGCCCGGTGGGAGGGGATTCGCGTGCATGTGTCCCTTCACATTGCCCCGCACGTGAGGGCAGGACGGAACCTGCGTGCGGCCGGCCACGGCCACGGCCACGGCCACGGCCGGAGTCTCCCCGCTCGCCTCGCCCACTCGCCCTGCGCCACCATCTTAGCGTGACTCGCTACACGCTGTGCTGCAGCCACCCCCTCCCCTGTCATCTGCTTGGCTTCGCGTGGGAGGCTGATCCCTCACGGCTCCTGCGTCGCAGGCGGGAGGGGGCCCGGCCGGGAGCCAAGACTCCAGCACCCTGGGCCCGAGCACGCGCCCCACCGGCACCTGCCCTTCGCCGCGGCGGCGTGCCGTCGCTGGGCGGCCACATCACCCGCCCTGCCCGTCGCTGCCCGGCTCTGGGCACCCGCACGCCCGCGGGGCGACGGGGCCGGCTGGTGCGTGGCAGGGGGGGCACGG